TTCAAGACCAGCCAGGTCATAGTGAGGCCTCGTCTCTACAAAAAAAAAAATATGTAAATGGCAGTACATCGTTTTGCCTGATTCCCCCATATAAACTCTTTATGTACCATTTGTGACATTCTTAAAAATCTTAAATATAGTTATTGGCTAAAATTTAGATTTTACAAATTGTTTCATTTAAGCGTTCCATAATCACATATAGTAGCTGTTTGATGTGGCCCCTGAAACTAGGTTCAAAACCACTCTGAACTACATTATTATTAGCCGTTTCCAGATTTACCAGTGGTTTACAGTGATATATCAGTATGATAAAAGTCACTACCTAAAATGTCTGAAGAACACTGCTAAACTGCTTGTCATCATATTTTCACTTTTAAATAAAATTTATTCCCCCCACCATATTCATGTTTTTAAGTCTTATACCCTAGCAGAGGGGAGAGGGAATTTTTATAAGCACAAATATTTCGTAGAGTTAAAATTCAGGATATTAGAAAGTGTCAAAAAAAAAAAAAAAAAAAGAAGGAATAAGACCTACTATTTGATGGCACAGTAGGGTGACTATTGCCAATAATAACTTAACTGTATATTTTAAAATAAAAAATGTAATTGGATTATTTGTAACTCAAAGGATAAATACTTGAGAGTAGGATAAAAAGAGAAAATGTCAACACTTCTGGATTATCTAACAGCTGTTTGGATCAAACAAAGATTAAAAATAAAATCTTCATTAATAAAAATTCATACTTTAAGAAAATTTTTTTAACTTAATAATTCTTTTCAGTTCCAAGATCCCATTCAGGAGACCACATTAAATTTAGTCATCTTGTCTTCTTAGGCTCCTCCTGGCTCTGACAGTTTCTCAAACGTTTTTGTTTTTGATGACCATGACAATTTTTTGAGACATGGTAATCAGATATTTTGTAGACTGTCCCTCAGTTGCAAATTGAATACTTTGTAATATTTTGGATATCAGTCCTTTATCAGGTATGTTCTACAAAGATTTTCTCCCAGTTTCTGCCTTGTCTTTTCTTTTAAAAATTTTTAAGTTTTTGTGTATTTTTTGCTTTTATTATTATTTTTAATTGACACACAATTGTGTATATTTATAGGGCACAGTGTGATTTTTGATACATGTACACAGTGTGTAATAAATCAAGGTGGTCAGCACATCCATCTCCTCAAACACCATTTTTTTGTGTTGGGAACATTCAAAATCCCCTCTTTTGCTATTTGAACATATACAGTAAATTGTTATACTGTCCATACAGTGCTATAGAATACTAGAACTTATTCTTCCTATCTAGCTGTTATTTTGTATCTGTTAACTTTGGCTACTGCCCACCTCCCCAGCAGCCTCTAGTAAGCACTATTCTACCCTCTACTTCCCTGGGGTCAACGTATTTAGCTTCCACATATGGATGAAAACATACAGTATTTATCTTTCTGTGCCTGGGTTATTTCACTTAACATACCTTCCTCGAGGCTCATCCGTGTTGCTGCAAATGATAGTACTTAAATCTTTTTTTACAGCTGAATAGTATTCCATTGTTTATATGTAACACATTTTCTTTATCCATTCATCTATTGATGGATGCTTAGGTTGAATTCATGTCTTGGCTATTGTGTATAGAGCTGCAATGAACATGGGAGTGCAGATAACGCTTCCAGATACTGATTTCCTTTCCCTGGGCTGTATTCCCCATAGTAGTGGGACTGCTGGTCATATGGTAGTTCTACTTTTGATTTTTTAAGGAACTTCCATACTGTTTTCCATAATGGCTATACTAATTTAAATTTCCACCAACAGTGTATGAGAACTCCCCTTTCTCTGCATCCTTGCCAGAATTTGTTGTTTTTGGTCTTTTCGGTAATAGCTATTTTTTTTATTATTACTTTTAGGGGGTAAGGGGGTACAAGTGCTTGTTTGTTGTTCGGCTGTATTGCATATTGGAAGAGATTGGGCTTGTAGTGTACCCAATACCCAAATAGTGAACATTGCACCCAATAGGTAGTTTTTCAGTCTTTGTCCCTTCCCACCCTTCCCCCTTTTTGGAGTCCCTAGTGCCTGTTATTTCCATCTGGCAATAGCTATTCTAACTAGGGTGAGATGTTATCTCATTGTGATTTTGATTTGTATTTCCCTTATAATTAGTGATGTTGAAGATTTTTCCATATACCCATTGGCCATTCATGTACCTTCTTTTGAGAGATGTCTATTCTGTTCATTTGCCCGTTTTTTAATAGGATTTTTTTTTATTTTTATTTTTTGCTGTTGAATTGTTTGGGTTCCTTGTATAAGAATTTCTTGGGAATTTTAATTAGTAGGGCCCTTATGAAAAACAGTATGGAGGTTCCTCTGAAACAAAACAAAAGGAAAATAGAACTCCATATGGCCAGCAGTCCTATACTAGGGATATATTCAAAGGAAAGGATATTAATCCCTTGTGGGATGAGTTGTTTGCAGGTATTTTCTCTCGTTTTGCTGGTTGTCTTTTCAGTCTTGATTTTTTTTTTTTTCCAGGCAGAAGCTTTTTAGTTTGATGTAATCTAGTTTGTCTATTTTTGCTTTTGTCACTTGTGTCTTTGAAGCCTTCTCCATAAAATCTTTATCCAAACCAATGTTCTGAAATGTTTCCCGTATGTTTTCTTCTAGTAGTTTCATGGTTTCAGCTCTTACATTTAAGTCTTTAATCCATTATGAGGTGATTTTTTTCTAGGGTGAAAGTTAGGGGTCTAGTTTCATTCTTCTGCATATGGATATTCACTTAACCCAGCATCGTTTATTGATGAGACCATGTATTTCCCAATGAATGTTCTTTGTGCCTTTGTCAAAAACTGATTGGCTATAAATATGTGGATTTATTTTTGGGTTTTCTGGGTTCTCTGTTCTAGCATGTCTGTTTTTATGCTAGCATCATGCTGTTTTGGTTACTATAGCTTTTTGTAGTATATTTTGAAGTCAGACAATCTGATGCTTCCAGCTTTGTTATTTTTGCTCAGGATTACTCTGGCTATTCAGGGTCTTGTGTGATTCCATATGAGTTTTAGAATTTTTTTTTTTCTATTTCTGTGAGGAATGTCATTGGTGTTTTGATAGGGATTGCATTTAATCTGTAGATCACTTTTGGCAGTATGATCATTTTCACAATATTCTTCTAATGCTTGAACATGGGGATGTCTTTTCATTTTTGTGTCTTCTTCAACTTCTTTCATAAGTGTTTTATAGTTTGTCATGTAGAGATCTTTCATCCCCTTGGTCTCAAACTCTTAGGCTCAAGGGAGCCTCCTGCCTCAGCCTCCCAAAGTGCTGAGATTACAGGTATGAGCCACCGCACCTGGCTCTTTTCTTCCCTTGGTTAAATTTATTCTTAAGTATTGTAGTTTTTTGTAACTATTGTAAATGGGACCGCTTTCTTGATTTCTTGCCCCCTGCAATTTCATCGTTGGTGTATAGAAATGCTACTGATTTTTGTATGTTGATTTTGTAGCCTGCAACTTTACTGAATTTATTTATCAAGTTCTAAAAGTTTTTTTGTTGGCACTTTTAGAGTTTTCTCTACATAAGATCATGTCATCTGCAAACGGGCATTTCAACTTCCTCCTTTCCTATTTGGATATCTTTATTTCTTTCTTGTGCCTAATTGCTCTCTCTAGGACTTCCAAAAACAGGCAAACATTTGCATCACGGTAAACCTGTAAGTGTCAGTTGAAATTTGAGGAGTTTGTCTCAAACCTAAATGCTATGAAAGCTGGTTTAGAAAGTCATATGAAAAGCTAGTACGTAAATGAAGGAATTATATTGTAGCCGTTTAAATGAACCCAAGACTGGAAGGCCGCAGAGCCAACTTGTTCCTCCCTTCCCCACTGGATCACTGTTACTTCCCGGCTTGGGAATCGTTTCTTGCTGAGCTTTCCCTCATCTGTGTTAGATGCCACTCCTTTGAGTTCCTACGGCACCTCACTCTGTCATGCTCTGTTGCTATTGAAATATGTCTCCCCTCTCCTGTAAGCTCCTTGAGCTCCAGGACTGTCTTTTTCATCTTTGTATCCCAGTGGCTGTCATATATCAGTGAATAATAGATAACTAGTTTTGAGGCTCTGAGGTCTCAAATGTTTGACCTCAAAAGCTTTTCTTTCATATGAGAAAACAACTAATCCTTGCCCCTACAATCTCAGTTTATTTAGCATCCTGTCAACTGGAAATCAGTGTAATGTGAGAGGGATTCAGTTTGGATTCCCGACTGCCCTTCACTGGCCGTGTGGCCCTTCACTAGCTTGCTTGGGCAAGGCACTGTATTTGTTTTTCTAGGCTTTAGTCTTGAATCTTTTCGGTGAAAGGTTTGAGTGAGTGATCTTCATGTTCCAATAAAGCTGCAAGGCTCTGTGGCCTAGCAGCAGAGTGGAGTGGTGAAAGACTAGTCACCTGACGGGCGGAGCGAAGTCACTTCCTCACCCAACCACTGAGTAGCCTGGTAACCCATGCTTACCAGGTATTTGTGCATGTCTACTGTGCCTTGAAGATTTGTGTATGTGATGTGCTGGAGGCAAAACAAATGCTAACGTAATTTAGAAACACAGATATTAAGTTAGTTAAGTATAGGTATAATTAGGTTAGGTTAGGTTAGGTATAATATATGTTAATTATATTTTGTCATATTCTTATTATGTGAAAATTGGTTATTCGCATGTGGTATATGGGATCATTAGGATATAGCATTACATTAATCAAGATAATGTTTCTCCATGTCTTTGTCTTCGTGGTTAATAAGTATTTAGGAAAGTTATTTCTTGATAATGCTTGAAATGTAGTCAAAAAAGATATTTTGAATTATGTTTTAATGTTGGCCAGTATGTTTTCTTTTGCGTCAAGAAAGTTTAATAAAAAGTACTTAAAAATGCAAAACAATCTCAACAATGTAAACTTTTACCTTTTTGATACTTTTTGTATTCATCATGATCAAGGATTCTGACTTTCGAGGTTTATTTTTATATACTTCCAGCTCATTTAGAGGCGAGTTTTGAGGAGGTAGAGAACAACCTGCTGCATCTGGAAGACTTATGTGGGCAGTGTGAATTAGAAAGATGCAAACATATGCAGTCCCAGCAACTGGAGAATTACAAGAAAAATAAGAGGTGAGTTTGAAAACTTTGCCACCGTATTCATTTTCAGTCTCGAAGTTTTCCATATTACTTTACATGCTACTCTTTAGAAGTCTCGTCTGATAAAAGACAAAAGTTTCAACATAAAACTGATAAATAAGCTTTCCAAAACTTTTTTAAAAAACCGCTATATGTTGCCATCTTTTGGAGATGAGTTATAAAAAGCTCGGGAGAGGGTAAAACTTGAATCCCAAATATAAAGATGAAGGAGCGGAGCACAAGGCAAAGTTTTCCAGCAAAATAGGAGCCCTGAGCTAGTTTTCTTCAAGTGGCAAATGACTGGGTTGCTCTTTTCTTTTCTTGCTCTTCTCCTCCATTACTAGAACAGAAGGAAGGAACCTGAGCTCAGGCCGTGGAAAGGGGCTGGAGGGCTTCGAATCTCAGCTCAGTTGCACACTACCTATGGGACCTTAGGCAAATTATGTTATCTCTCTTAGCCTCAATGTCACTGGTTTATGATGGGGATAATGATGTACCCCTATCATAGAGTTATGAGGATTAAATGAATTAATTGTTACCTAATTCAGTTAGTGCTTTGTAAATATTAGTTATAATAATGGCTGTTATCACTAGGCTAACCTGAACTGGAGATGGAAAAGGAGTCTAAGGGTAATAGCCTGCTACACTAGCTCTGGCATCCCAAGTCCTACAGTGGCATCTCAGAGATGGAAGGTACAGGGTCGGTATTTCTGAAGTCTGTGGGGAGTCAGTCTCAGAGGGCATGAAACAGACTGTTGTCTGTACTGGGCACCTCCAGAACAGAAGCTGGAGGTGGGCTTTGCTAGTTGGGAGGAAGCAGAAGTCATGGGATTGGGTCTGGCTGTGGCCCAAGAGCAGATTTGGTGGGAGAGGGAGATGGATAGGTTGGACAGAGTACACTCTTGGTGTTAGGAGTGCTGGTAAGGGGGTTGTTCTGGGTCTAGAATGTGACAATAACAGGAGTGGGTTGCTATCATGGACAGGAGGAGCTGGTCACTAATATACCACTCCCCCCACCCCCAAGGAAGCTAATACATAGGTGAGGTGGATTGCTGTATTGATGTTAAAGTCTTCTAGAATGAGGCCAAGGGATGAGACAGAAATGAATAGAAATGAGTATTTTAGAACACAAGTTCTCAATCAGGGTCATATATACTTAGAGATGGGCACTAAATATTAATGAGCCATAAAAATCTCCTGGGGAGAGTATTTAAAATGGAGTTTCCTGGGCTCCGTCCTTGGAGAGTCCATTCTAAAGTTAATTCCAGTGGAGAAAGTTGAAATGACACCTTATTCCATAAGCCTCTAGAATGGTTTAAATTTAGAATGGTTTTAAACACACCTTCTAGGTGGTTCTGATATGGGTGGCCTGTGGACCATACTTTGAGAGACTGCCGGGCAGAGATGGGAGATGGGTTGTGTGCAGGCTGTAAGTGGAAGAGCTTCAGAAGAGTTCCGGGGAGGCCATGGAACAGATTATTTGCAAAAGGTTGTACGTATGTGAATTTTCCAGAGGTGCTTTCTATACATTTCATTTGTCCCACAAAGATTGTAGGAGGGCATATGGCAGCATAAACAATGGAGTTGTTGGCCAGGCACAGTGGCTCACGCCTGTAACCCCAGCACTTTGGGAGACTGAGGCGTACGGATCACGAGGTCAGGAGATCAAGACCATCCTGACTGACACAGTGAAATCCCATCTCTACTGAAGTTACAAAAAATTAGCCGGATGTGGTGGCGGGCGCCTGTAGTCCCAGCTACTCGGGAGGCTGAGGCAGGAGCATGGCGTGAACCCGGTGGGCAGAGCTTGCAGTGAGCCACGATTGCATCACTGCACTCCAGCCTGGGCGACAGAGCAAGACTCCATCTCAAAAAAAAAAAAAGAATGGAGTTCTTGTCAGAGAAGGGAGTTTTTTTGTTTTTTTTTTTTTTTTTTTGTGGTAGAGTTTCACTGTTGTTGCCCAGGCTGGAGTGCAAGGCGTGATCTCGGCTCACTGCAACCTCTGCTTCCTGGGTTCAAGCATTTCTTCTGTCTTCCGAGTAGCTGAGATTACAGATGCACACCACCATGCCCAGCTAATTTTTGTATTTTTAGTAGACATGGGGTTTCACCACGTTGGCCAGGCTGGTTTCAAACCTCTGACCTCTGGTGATCCATTAGCCTCAGCCTCCCAAAGTGCTGGGATTACAGGCGTGAGCCACCGCGCCCGGCCTGGAGAAGGGACTTTTGAATGAGTGGGTGCACCTTGTGACCCAGGGCATTTCCAGTCTGATATGTGGGCGTGGGAAAAGAGGAACTTTGCTTAAGAGGAAGGTAGCAGAGGTAGAAATGCTCAGGCTAGTCTTCATTGTTAAATGAAAAGTTAGAGAGACATTCTGTTGTAAAGAAGTTAGGCATGGAAATATGTTTGTAATACAACAAGAGTTTCAAGGAATATGGTAGGAAGGCTTAGAATTTTGAGAGGAAATTTTTGCAGGAGGTTGGACAGGTTGGGTACAGGTCATGTGACCCTAGAAGGTGATTTTCTCGTCTGTGAAATGGGGATAATAACAATACAGTACGTTATAAGGTTTTAGGGAATCAGTAAAGTGCTTGGAATAGTGCTTGGCACCAGCTAAGTGCTCTGTCAGTGGCTGCAAGTTCTGACTAACTTGTATTATTAACTCGTGTAGCTATAAAGAGATGGGTATTCTATATATTTAAATAGCCCGTTGCTTTTTAGCTACATAATACAAGAATTATATGACTATTGTAATTTTTCTATCAAGATGTGTTGAAATTTAATTGTTGGAAACCTAGTAATACCTTAAGATATTGCGGATTCTGTTCCAGTCCACTGCATTCTGCAGTAAAGCTAGTTACATGATTTTTTTGCTTTCCTAGTGCATATAAAAGTTATGTTTATACTATACTGTATGTAGTCTATTAAATGTGCACTAGCATTGTGTCTTAAAAAACAATGTACATACCTTAATTAAAAATACCTTATTGCTAATGATCATCAGCCTTCAGTGAGTTGTAGTCTTTTTGATGGTGGAGGGTCTTGCCTCTATGGTAATGGCTGCTGACTTATCAGGTGGTGGTTGCTGAAGGTTAAGATGGCTGTAGCAATATCTTAGTTAAAATAGCTTAACAGTGAAGTTTGCTACATAGATGGACTCTTCCAGGAAAGATTTCTCTGTAGCATGTGTTGCTGTTTGACAGCATTTCAGCCATAGTAGAATTACTTCCAACATTGGAATCAATCCTCTCAAACATTACTGCTGCTTTATCAACTAGTTTATGTAACATTCTATGTCCTTTCTTGTCATTTCAACAATGTTCACAGCATCTTCACCAGGAGTAGATTTCTTCTCAAGAAACCACTTCCTTTGCTCATCCATAGGAAGTAACTCCTCATCTGTTTAAGTTGGATCACGAGATTGCAGTAATTCAAGCATATCTTCAGGCTTTGCTTCTAATTCTAGTTCTCTTGCTATTGCTACCACATCTGTAGTTACTTCCTTCACAGAAATCTTGAACCTCTCAAAGTCATCCATGAGGGTTGGAATCCACTTCTTCAAAATTATTGCTAATGTTTGATATTTTGACCTCCTACCATTAATTATGAATGTTCTTAATGCCATCTGGAATGGTTAACCCTTTCCAGAGGTTTTCAGTTGACCTAGATCCATTGAAGGAATCATTATCTACAGCTGCTATAGCCTTACAAAATGTATTTCTTAAATAATAAGACTTGAAAGTTGAAATGACTCCTTATTCCACAGGCTGCAGAATCAATGTTGTGTTCATAACAATGAAACAACATTGATCTATTTGTTCATCTCCGTGAGGGCTCTTGGGTGACCAGGTGCATTGTCAATGAGCAATATTATTTGGAAAGGATTTTTTTTTTTTTCTGAGCAGTAGGTCTGAACAGTAGGCTTAAAATATTCAGTAAACTATGCCACAAACAGATGTGCTTTCATCCAGGCTTTGTTATTGCATTTATACAGCATAGGCAGAGAAGATTTAGCGTAATTCTATGAATTTTCAGGATGCCTCCCAAGATTTTCAGAGTAGTAAATGAGACACTGGCTTCAGCTTAAAGTCACCATTAGTCCTTAACAAGAGAATGAGACTGTCCTTTGAAGTTTTGAAGCCAGGCATGGACTTCCCCTCTCTAGCTATGAAAGTCTAGCTATGAAGAAGATGGCATCTTTTTCCAATAAAAGTCTGTTTTGTCTCTTGACAATCTGCTGTTTAGCGTAGCCACCTTCATCAGTTATCGTAGCTAGGTCTTCTGGATAAGCTGCTGCAGCTTTTACATCAGCACTTCCGGCTTCACCCTGCACTTTGTTGTTATGGAGATGACTTCTTACTTTAAATTTCATGAACCAACCTTTGCTAGCATCAAACTTTTCTTCTCCAGCTTTCTCACCTCTTTTAGCTTTCATAGAACTGAAGAGAGTTGGAACCTTGCTCTGGATTAGGTTTTAACTTAAGGAAGGGAATGTTGTGGCTGGTTTAATCTTCTGTCCAGACCACTCAGACTTTCTCCATATATGGTGGGTTTGTTTTCTTACCGTTCGTGTGTTCACTGGAGTAGCATTTTTAATTTCCTTTAAGAACCTTTCCTTGGCATTCACAACCTAGCTAACCATTTTGTGCAAAAGGCCTAGCTTTTGGCCTGGCTTGACTGTCGACATGCCTTCCTCAGTAAGCTGGATTATTTCTAGCTTTTGATTTCAAGTGAGAGATGTGAGACTCTTTCTTTCACTTGATTAATTAGAGGCCTTTGTAGGGTTATTATTAATAATTGGCCTAATTTCAATATGTTTTGTCTCAGGGAATAGAGAGGTCCAAGGAGAGGGAGAGAAATTGGAGAATGGCTTGTCAGGGGAGCAGTCAGAACACATACAACATTTATGGGGCTTGGGGCACCCCAAAACAATGACAGCATTAATATCAAAGATCACGGATCACCATAATACATAAAACAATGAAAAAGTTT